TGAACCACCCAACCACCCCAACCCCACACATAACGCCACAGTGAGCAGCGTTAGACCGCTCACTGCCGCCTGTGCACTACATACATCTCATCCTACCGTACCCACAGAATACCGCTTTGAATCATGCTGTATACTGTAGCACAATATCACCGCTTCGGGAAGACCGGTGTCCAGCGCGGGGGTGGGGGAAGGGTGGAAACATCGAGTGGAGGGGTGGGGCAAGGGCAGGGAAATATGATGGAGTACCTCAAAGTTTGATGCAAAAACGCATGATCGCACCGGCTAGCCTGGTGCGTTCCAGCCTGGGTTGTGTATGTGACACAGGTATGCGTTAAAGACGAATTTGAAATCTCTAGCCCACAAGAAGACACACAAAGTCCCCCAGAAATTTTAGCTTCCTATCTTGTTTGATCCCCAAAATCCTTTCCCGCTAAAAAATTTACATGCTTCTAGGTGTCTGTACGGAGACTCAAGCGTAATTTAATGGTGATCCACTCCCCCTTTCCCTTCATCTTCCTTTTGCTCCACTATTCTTCCTCGCCTATATACTGCACTGCCTCCCCTTCCCCTCCGTCCATATCGCATATGGGACAGGAACATGCTCCAAAAGTTTCAGCTTACTAATTTTTCCGGTTGCTGAGTTAACAAACTGCGAATATACACACAAAACACATGCAATCGGGTAAACTTTTATCAATATGCGTTTTTGCATTTGCATAAATATGCGAATACCATTCATAAAAATGATGGGTTGCACATGGAGTGGGAACACGTTTCAAAAGTTTCGTTTCCCTGGTTTCTCTGGTTGCTGATTTGAAGGTGGGCGTTGAAAATTGAAAATGTGGACACACATACATACATACGTACATGCATACATACACACATACATACATACATACATACATACACATGCTGACAACCTCTCGTCAACATGCGTTTTTGCACTTGCATAAATGTGCAAAAATACATAAAAAACACATTCTGAAACCCTCTTTTTCCGACTTCCCAGAGACTGATTTGCATCAATATTAAATCTGCCATGGGATAAAATTTGTTTATTTCCAGGTAAATATAGCAGCTGCAATTATTCAGCGATGGAAAACGAAGATTCGTCATCCACATTTAGCGAAATTTTCCTTTGAGGCAGTGCAATATATAGGCGAGGAATAGTGAAGCAAAACGAGGATGGAGGGCGAGGGGAGAGGATCAAGAGCCATCTGAACTTTTTTGTCTGGGATCGAAAAATCCAAAATATGGCTAGGATATTGCCGGAAAATTTATTTAGGGACAGCAGACCCAGTTGTTAGTACCAAATGCATTGACGAGCAAAAATCAGGCCAGAAAACATTAAATGTGCATATTCAAGCAAATTGGGGCCATAATAAATCTTCTCAGTGAAAAATTTGCTGTTCCGGTCAATACGGTATCATTTTGGTAGAAGGTACCAGGACGAGCGCTCACTTCGTCTTTGTTACAAGCTGAACAAGTCTGCTTTCTTGTTCATATATTTCAAACCGTGTCCCTCCTAACAAAAAGAACGAAATTTTCTGTCGAACAACTACGGTCAACACGGATTCGGACAAGAGCTCAATGCTTTACTGCTGATCGGTGTAGAGTCAGGATTTTTTGAGTGGCAACTAGAAGTGCTAAATACCTTTTTATTTTGTATTAAATAAAGCTCTGATAAAATAAAACTGTTAATAATGTTACCAAGACGGACTGCGACATTCAAACTATTAATGGTCAGCGTCACTGAGGTACGGTCACACATCTAGCTCTCCTGCAACCTCATGCATTTCATGGATCCACGAATTACAGCTGTTTACTTAGATTCCAGTATTTTGCTGTAGACCTATCCTTTAACCAAGGCTGGAACGCACCAGGCGGGCCGGTGCGATTATGCGTTTTTGCACTTTCGTACTGTAGCAAGATCGCAAGGAGTCAATGTAGCTAACCCTGTGAAATACTGGCCCTCGAAATTCAGAAGTTAATTGTGCAGCTATGTGGTATGTCAGTTGTGGGTGTCGACTTCAGTGACCCGACAAGTGGAAAGTTGCTGGTCCGCAAAAAAAGGCCACGCTAAAAGAGTTAAATTTAAAATTTCTTAGTCGCACACGAGCGGGGAATATACCCTTTAAATTAAAGCCCCCAGCTTTTCCCGTTCCCGAGTTAGCAGTTTTCCCATCAAAATTTTCACATGTCCGTGAGTGAGTACCAGATGGCTTTAAGGAGCTGAATCTAAAATTTTTTGGTCATACATAGAT